TTCACGCCACTCCCACAAAACAGGATCTTGGTACCTCTTTGGGTTCTTTTCTAAATTTCCGACGAGCACCCCCGTACTTTTTATATGGGAGTCGCCCCCCGCATAATGACCTCCCCTGTCTTCCCCCCTCTTTATTGAATCTGACATAATATGCACATGTCCTACAGCACTGCCTCTTCAGCTCTGAATGCCATGGCTCTTGTGAGCCTGGAAGATGTCGTGAAGAAAAAGATCCCGGATATCTCCGACTCCGATGCTGCCAAGCTTTGCAAGATCGTCGGTGAGTTGTGCTCGCTTGACAGTGGCGTACCTAGGGTATAGGCCATTAGGTTGGACCTCCTGTTTTCTGGCTTGAAAACACAAGAATCCCCTTGCCCTCGTTCTGAAGTAAGAATGGGCCAACTTTCACTCCGTTATGTCCCTTTTTTCTAGCAAAAATAAATCTTCACCGTCCCTTCCCGCTAATCTGGCTTTTTAATTTAGCACCTCTGAATCCGCCGCTAATTGGAGATGTCCAGCCTACCCACCTCTACCACCCGAAAGTGTCTCAATGGCCCATTTTTGAGTTGACCATTCATATGAAAACGAGTTTAACTTGCATGTGAAAGAAATCTTATTTTCATGTGAAGAGATGGACACCAAGACTCGCAATGAGAAAGAGGCTTAAGGTAATTCGGAAATGGCCCAACTTTTAACATAGTGCTGGGACTACCTTATAAATTTCTTATCGATGCTCCTTCGTCTTTAGCCCTGTCGTTTGGTGTTATCGTTATTGGTGGAGCTTTTGTTGTAAAGTACGTGGGTACCATGGTTTTACAGGTTGGTCTGTGTTTTTTGCCTTTATTTTAATCTTTTTCGCAACCGGAGATTGCATTTGTGTCGCCACTTTCCTGGTGTCGTGCGATTACTCGTTGTGGATATCACTGTTTTACGTCAGTAATTGCTAAGTACGCTGCTGTTTCATTTTAGTTGGCGTACAGTATTTTCGGAATCTGCGGTGGACCTTTGTTGGGAATCTTCTTTCTTGGAATGTTTGTCCCTCGAGCTAACTCTAAGGTAATGTACAACAGATAGAATTGATTTCCAATAAAAGTTCTGGGAGCTGGATCAGAACTTTCTGTTATTATCAGTTCAATTTTCAGCGATTTCTTATCTGTCAGTTAAAATTTAAACCGGCTTCTCAGCTATCAGTTAAACAATAGCCTCCATTTGGCGCGAAAATATGCCCGGAAATTTGCCGGCGAACATTACCTGTTCCGAGAAGCGAACAGTTTCCGAGAGCTTAGCACGAGGAAACCTGTGAGCTTTGAGGAACCGTCAGCTTCGTTTATCATCCTCCAAAAATTTTCGCAACACGCGCAGTTTTAAAATTGGGGAATACCACTCAGATATTCCCCAGTATTTAGTAACGTGACGCGTTTAGAACAGTCGCCCGCGAGCGAAAAAATTCTTGGATTTATATATTCCTGATCTCAAATCTTAGCTATGAGTTGAAAGACCCTTCTAATAAAGTCGTTTCTCTTTTTGGGGGTAACCTGCTAAGGGAAATTCATTCTAGTTTCAGGTTCCAATTGAACATTTTATTTATTTACTTTTTTTTTATTTTATCGCTGTGAACTCATTCAAGTTAAAGTTTTAAGTTTTTCTCTTTGTCATAAATATACGGATGCTCACTTTAATTTGCTTTTTATAGCAATCAGCGTTTTTTCTTTCCTCTGGTACATGGCGATTGTTTGTTTTCTTTGTTTTAAGTTCGTTGGTTTAGCTCTTTTATTGTTTTGAAAAGATCATGCCGATTGATCTTCCAAACTTTGGCTGATATCAGTTTCGAGTTAGACCACGAGTAGCCCTGTACGGCTCCGCAAACGCGGCCATTTTTTCCTCGAGGTTTTCTTTCCCGTTACGCACGACGGACTAAGCGAAAAAACGACTACTCTTAGTCAGTTTCGAGTCTAACCGAGATTCACCTCACCCTCCCATAGCTTATTATATCGGTAGAATATATAAACAATAGTCTCCATTTGGCGCGAAAATATGCTCGGATATTTGTCCGCGGACATTATCCGTTCCGAGACGCGAACAGTTTTCCGAGAGCGAAGCTCGAGGAAAACTGTGAGTTTCGAGGAACAGATAATGTCCAAGGACAAATCTCCGACCATATTTTCGCGCCAAATGGAGACTATTGTGTTTATTATCCTTAAAATATTTTTCGCAACAAGCGTGGTTTTGAAAATTGGGGAATATCCTCGGATATTCCCCAGTTTTAGCTGAGAAATATTCGGTCACTTGACGCGTTTCGGCCAATCGCGCGCGAGCCAAAATCTTTGATGGATTATAAATTATATTATACCATTAGCAATTATACCGGTAGAATAGGCCTTAGGTACCGGTAGAATGTTTTTATCTTAACTGAGAAGGTAATTTTGAAATAACACCTGTTGTTTCAGGGCGCATATTTTGGCGTATTCACCGGTGCCGCTTTAACAACCTGGGTATTCCTTGGATCAGTGTTGTATCCACCCAATAAGTACCCAGGCCTCCGCTCGGTCCAGGGCTGTGATTTCTACGTGAACGCCACGCGAACTGCCGAACTCTACAATGGCACCTACGATAACGCAACTGCTGAAGTCTTCGAGAAATGGGGAAATGGCATAATCAAGAATCCTTTCAAAGGACACAGGTAACATTTCTTTCTTTGTTTGAAACTGATCTTCTAGTTCAATAGCTGAATCCTTCCTCTACAGTCACCAAAAATACAAACGACCCGAAACCAATATAATTATGTAATTATGCAATTATGCAGTTGAATGGCCTTTGATTGGTTGCTGAGCAGTTAATTATTCCCTCGCAGGGACACCACACTAGTCTCTGGGTGTGACGTCATCAGCACGTGATTTTCGGAGCGAATTTCGGATGGTTTTTCAGCGCGGGAAAATTGAGCAAACGAAGGCAAGCATGTCCTATATCTGGCTTCACCAACTTTTTGTCGGTTTTTTCATTAATTATCTGTAGCCTGTTGGTTTGTGTCGGTAATCATACCGTTTCGAGTTCAATTTGGAATTAATTAGTACGAGTGAGTTTTTCAAAAAGCTTAAATTGCACGGGCCGCTTCGGCAAGTGCAATTTAAGTCATCATTTTACGTGATTTCATTGGCTTAGAAAATTTCCTATTGTCTTTCACCCAATCATAATCCAGAATTACGATGTGTAATTTGCAACTGGTGTTACACTCTTTGAACTGGTGTAATACTTGAACTGCACTGCTCTCAGCCAATCACAATCGAGTAATTTTTTTATGTATATTATTAGTTGATGAATCAGTCTCGTAGCCGCCACAGATATCATGGGATGGATACTTTTTTTATTTTGTGGGTTATTTGTAATGTAGTCAGGAAAGATATGGGCAGATACCGGCAAATTGTTGACGAAACTTTACAAAATGCTAGAAGCAGCCTGTGCAATCTCGTCGAGTCTTCGTTCCTTACAGCGTTAGCTTGACGAAAAAAGAGACTCTGGAGATTTCCGTTACAGGATGGATTTTGATTGGTTTTAAAAACAATGGAAATCAGCAGAAGTAGGAAAAAGTGTCTCAATTGAGCCACGTGTTTGTCAATTTTATAGGCATGCGCAATTTAACCGGTTGTCCGATGTTTTTGGACTTTCAATGGTCCGACCGCTGATCAATGGTAATGAACACTCTGGGTACGAGGTTGCAGCCTGCAGTGGACAACCCATCCTGGGTGGGGTGGCAGTACTCGTAACAAATTCATGCTACTGAAACAAGTAATGCAAAGAATCGTTCATGTTTTTCGTCTGTTTGTTTTTGTTTACCTTTAGCGCCCCCATCGCTGATTTCTACAGCATGTCGTATCTTTGGTTCAGTGGTCTGTCCGTTCTAACATCGTTTGTTGTTGGAATTATAATGAGTTTAATTCTTGGTAAGTTTACTACCGACAATTTATCTTGCACATCTATTTCATTCCGTCCCACCATATTTGATTTTGTCACTACATGAACGATGCTTAAAAAAACGCAAGAGAAAACCACTCTAAGGTCCTTGTGAACTGCGGCTGTTGACACAAATTCCTCTTTTTTTTGAAGAAACGAAGGAGGACAAGGAAAGAGTGATTGATCCTAAGTTGTTGTTCCCGGTAAAGGAATGGCTGCTTTCCTGGCTGCCTGGGCACAGCTTTAAATGGGATTTTGTGGAAGAGGAGGAAGCTAAACTGAGGGAAGAAGAACTTGAGGAAAGCAAGCCTATTCATCAAGAGGTATGGAAAGAAGAAAAGATAACCTTCAAAGATCTTGTACAGTTTACCCCTATAGGCTATTATTTTAGGGTTAGGGTTAGGTTTAACTGCTGACATTACAACTCTAAAGAAAAACAAACTGTTCTGTATTGTTTTTTGTTTTTGTTTTTTTTCGCGTGCTCTTTGCAATCCTTAAAAGCAGTTTCTTTGATATACATTTTAGGGTGAGGACAAGCGATGAAAAAGACGTTTTTCCGATTTCTCTGAGAGAGATCATTTTGGTCAAATTAGCTGAACACCACGAGTCTTTTATTGGCAAAATGTTTTCCACATATCAAAGACTGAAGGATGATTTCTGAGAATTATAAATAACGTTGGCATAATCTTGAAAAATCCCAAGCCGTTGTTAAACCGTTAAATTCTCCAAAAATTTTGCCCATGCATGCTCCTCTTTGGCTTTACTGCGTTTCTTTGGAGTTATCAGTCAACAGTTTTAAGCCATTACTGTTAAGCGAATTCTAAGAGCTGAAATTGCCTAAAATTGGATGGCCTAACCCCTTTGAAAGGTTTCAGCCAAATCATAGCACTCATTTTCAGGTGTTATTTACAGTGCCATCAACTTGACGCACTCTGTATCTCGTTGCAGGAAATCAAAATTAACTGGGACGAAACTTCGCCATTGGATCCAAGTGACAAGCCCGAGAAAGATGAAATGGGCAAGTTATACACGGATAATCTTATTCAGTCTTCCAAACTGTAATGTAACCGATTTCTTCTTAACACAAGTTTTAGGTTTCCAGTTAAGAAGCTCCGCAGGCTATTTAGGTCGTTGGTGACCGCCTAACGCTTAGCCTTACACTATAGAGCGTTTTCACTCACCAGGCCAGCAGCCATGCAAATTTATTGGAACAAACGGAAGTGTACGTTTACATAAGAAAAGAGTTTAAATCTCACAGGAGTGGTTTAGTACACCAACATGGCCGCCGTTTCTTTGTTTTGGAATACCAATATGGCTGCCATGACGTCATGTGAAAACGCTCTTTTCACTCTCGTTTCCAGAGCCCAAGGTGTCTTTTAGTCAGGGGAGGGGGCTCTGGGCGGAAACTCCAAACAGCAACGACCTAGATAAGAAATGCGAGTTGGAGAGATTAATATCTGGGTGAATCATCCTTATTCGCCTTGTAATCTCAAAATCTATTTTCGAGAAAAGATAACACCAACTAATTTTCCAAGGATGTCTGCTCATACGAGTTCTATTTCTCTTCACTACACAAAGCTAGCGCTTTCTTACAATTACAGAGTATTTTCTGCTTCATGTTATGCCATCTTTATATTTCAAGCGGTAATGCAAGGGTAGGGTGTAGCTTATAACGTATTCCAACATAAAATAACGGGGGTTTTTATGACGGTTTCCTAAATTTGTTTGGAAGACTTTATAAAGTGTTCTGCTGACATGTGTTCCGGGAACTTTGACATGGTACCGAAACAGAAATATATGCCCTAAAGTCGTATGCACGGTGTTGTCTGGATCTGTTTTCGAGCCATCCCTGTCCGACTGTTACAAATGCCGTAAACTGCCGCTTTTAAGCCCTGGGCTTATACAACTTCGTAAGGGCTTTTAGATCAGTGGGATTGTGAACGGGGGGACTTATACCGAAGGGGCTTATCACCAGAATAGAAAAACCGGTTAAAAAGAGTTATAGCAGTGTTGATCGAAATAGATTTTTCATTTACTGGTTTTTAATTAAGCTTTAAAACAATTCGAAACAAGGAAAGCTATAGGGGGCTTACATCCGGGCGGGGCTTGTAACCGGATGTATCTTTTAGTGTACAGATAAATGAAAGTATCACCGGGGGGCTTATAAGCGTGGGGGTGGGGGNGGGGGGCTTATAAGCGGAAGTTTACGGTAGCTAGTATCAAGATTCATGGAAATAATCTGAGAATGTTAAGGGGTTTTGTGACAATAGCTCTGGGCTAGGTTATGTGTAGTACAGATAAAAGTTTGTTTTTCATTGTAAATACATTTAAAATCGTAACTCTCAGTGGCGGGTTTAACTCTCGTTATATATTGCAAGAGAGTCGGAGTGTTTTGGATCTAGGCCTGCAAGTTATCAAAAGCACGTATGGGTTGGGTCGAAGCTACTCCAGAAAAATGTGTGAATTAAGTAACTACCAGCTTTTCCGAGTTTAATCAGAGCTTCTTTTTATAACGATTTCCTAGAAATTGTTAGAGTGAGGCCCTAATCCAGAGCTTTTAAAGCACATATGTATACTTTAAGTGATGCACTACCGAGTGGACTGCGGTACTCAATTTAACATAATTTTTGTAACATCGACGTTCAACAGACCTTTGTCAGAAAGAAAATGTTGATACGCAACTTCAGGTTAACGACGAAATAAAATTTGTGATCATACTGTCTTGTATTGGTGTGGACTCTTTCGTTGAACGGTGATGATCTTTTTTTATGTAATTATAAAAAAAAGTTTACAACCCATCTACTGAATGACTGACTTATCGAGCGAGTGAATTATTTCTTCCCCAACTAACTGCTGTAACTCTCTCTGGCTACGCTATCACTCGTTAAAAAAGTTCATTTTTGTACCAAGGTGTGGTCGTTCTCACACTGGAGCCTGTCAAAGAAGTGCTTTGCCAAGAGCTAAGCAGGCTTTAGTTTGATCTCTGTGCTCTGAGGGGCTGAGAAAGCATATGCTCCCAGACTATCAATTCAAAGCAAATTGAAAGAGATAAAAAGTTTGTTTCTCTATATGTATTTTTTTTGTCTTCAATCGTCACTGTAGGTTATCTGTAGGACTCCGTTCATAGGACATCGGCGAAGACGAGTGCTCTTCCAGCCATTCGAGATCAGCCATTGGTGCGGTTTTGTTAGTTCCCACGATACTCAAGATACAATTTCTGTCAGCACTTTATAGTAATATCCTGATACCCAAGTGGAGATGACATCTGCGAAGAGATAAAGCGTCGATATTAAAAACAGCCCTTGGAACACTTATGTTCCATCTTCCATGCTTACATTCTGCGTAACACACAGTGACAACCAGGCCAAGAGGAATGGAAAACTCGGATTGTCACTGATTAGAATTCACGCGCCTGCTGAAAAGATAAAATTGCCTGTTTGAAGGCAAGGATAATCGGGAACTGTACGGAAAGAAATACAAAGATCGATCGCGACTGAACACATTTCCAGTTTTTGTTTGTCAATAGTCGTGATACCTCGAGGAGAAATAAAAAACGTAAGATCATCAAATTAAGTTCAGCGATCGAAACAAAATACGATGCAGTTACAAAAACAACAATTGTAGACTTACGCTGTGTTGGTTAATCCCCAAGTCGAGGTAAGCAGCACGCATTTTCATTGCTCATCAAGGGAGTGACCGAAGCCATGACTCTTGCAAATATTGGCCTTTCAGCACTGGCCAACGCCCTTACTAGTGCTCGGTGAGCTAAGAGAAGTGATTACCGATCGTTTCTGAAATTTCAGCCGGAAGCATATTGCAATTATGTCACAATATATTGCCGCGATCTTTTTCGCCAGGGGAAATGGAAGGTTTCATGTAAAATTGTATTTAAGGCAGGGGTACACATGAATTTAAGTGAAATTTTAGGAAGTTTAAAGAGGGATTAAAAGGATAAAAAGGGGTTTGGAACACCACCAGACAGTTGATTGCCCCCAAAAAGGGCACCCCGGGTTGCATGGTGGGCAACTGTTTGGTATACGTCTGCCAATTTCTAACTTCAAATTCTAATTTTAAAACAACATCAAATCTTCAAAATTTCCTATTTC